GACTGAGAAACTGAGCGCATCAGTGATAACATGTCAGTGCTTCGTTTCCTCACACATCACATGAGAAGCCGTCCATGTGCTCCATCTGCAACATGTTTACATCAGATGGCTTAGAGCAGGGGTGTCCAATCCTGGTCCTCGAGGGCCACAGTCCTGCATGTTTTAGATGTTGCTCTCTTCCAACACACCTGATTCAATCGGTCAGCTCATCATCAAGCTCTGCAGAAGCCTGATAAGGATCCTGATCATTTGAATCAGGTGTGTTGGAAGAGGGAAACATCTAAAACATGCAGGATTGTGGCCCTCGAGGACCAGGATTGGACACCCCTGGCCTTTATTCTGAAGGAGCAATGTACAGTAATAATACAAACTCATGGCTGAGATCTGGGAAAACATTAGCAGAGCAAGAAATGTGAGATATCAGACAAACATACAGGATTACAGCAGCTTATTTGGAAAGAAGGAGTAAAAGCAAACTGTAAAATGAATATCCATAAATATATAATATAAACTGACGATCTGGGATTAGATTCATTCCTCTGTACGTACCACATGTGTGCTTTTTCTGTGCAGTGAGATAAAGGCTAACATGGATGTGGATATTTTAGATATTTTCACGCTGCTCTTGCCTCTTTGCTATAGTTTTGTCGTTCCAACATAAGGGCAATGTCATTATAATGCACAGAAAAGATCGGCACCTCTTGCAACTCTATAGACAAAGAAAGGAGGTGAACACCAACGCTTTGATAATGTGTCATCACTGATTTACTCGTCCTTGCAACGCTGAACAAATGACTTGAAATTAGCAGCGATTACAATAACCTTCAACCTACTTAGCAGCCAGCTATTGCGTGTGATGCCATTCACGCTCAAGTGGCTGCTAAAGTAGCTTAATCTGTAATGTCACTGACTTGTTTTAGTGTTCCAGCGCAGTTAAATTAGTCAGATGAATTGAAATCAAATTACTTGAGATGTGCTCTTGCAATTTACAAGCAGGGATGATAAAGCATTCGTTTTTTATCTCAGGCTGCAGTGAACCTCCCCCCCAAAGCGCCCTTACTGGAATTAGGACTGTGCTGGCCTGAGGAGAGTTTGCACAGAGCACTATTATAATCACGAAGCTCGGAAAAGACGACTTGGTTGTTTGCATCAGGGACAGCAAGAGAAAATAAACGTCCATATTCTCTGGCTGCAGCTAAAAAGAAATGACCAGTACAGTGTATACATGCACATTTATACAGCTTATTTCTTGTCTCCTTCCGCTTCTTTTTTTCTGGTCATTTCCGTGCAGTAAATATTTTCTTAACATATCCCTCCATATCTGATTTTGTGTCATTCTCATGAACGCCTCATGGTGTGCGTATGTGTGTGATTGTGTGTGTGTGCGTAAATACTGTTTGTGGGACATTTTGTGATTGGTGGTCTGCAGAAGAAAAAATAAGGCATTTGGATTATATTTCCACATGGAGCAAATTTCTGCACACAAACATGACTGCACACTTACAAACCCACACTAAACTCCCCTGACACACACACACACACACACAAACACACACACAATGAGCATTGTGTTCCAGGTTTTATTTTGCAGAGGGACATCTCTGCTCGCAGTTTCATTCCAGGAGAGAGAAACACAGCTGGAGCCTCTGGGACGCAAACAATGTGGCGGCAGTGACCATGCCAGGCACGCAAGCACACACACACACACACACACACACACACACACACAATCCTTCTTGTAGGTTGGACATCCTTCAGTCGCAATTTTCAGTTACTGCACAGACTAAGAATGAGTTTCTTAACATGTGCACCTTGTTATGAGTATATTCTCTTCTTGCAGTTACTCATGTCATGAGTCACTTTCTGTGCTTCTGTTCTTCCACTTTATCATCCAAAAAAATGTGCTTCCAGGTATTTCTAAGGTGGTCGAGCAAACTAATCCATCGCTGTGAATATTGCGTTTTATTTATTTTCTTCAGCATTATTTCAAATAAACCCCAGTCCTCACTGGACACAGAAAAGCTCCATATCGTACTTGACCTGTGATTTCAGAGACCCCCTACATGTTTGGGTGGTCAAGATATATACAGTAAACACTGTACACAACATGTTTAGTTGCATGTACATATAGTTAAGAGTTGCCAAATAGCCAATTATTTTCAGCAGCATCCTTTACAAACTTAAGAATCAGCCAAAAAAATTCTACAACCCATTTCAACACATTTATAGGAAAATATACAAACTAGATTCACACAACTTTGTCTTTGACAGTAAATGAGTACAACGTTATTAGGATTGTGAAGGAGAATGTGAGCGTTAGGGTTAAAAACACCTGCAGCCATGTCCTTTTAAAGCGTGCAATTTTTGATAAACACTTGTGGATCTTATTATACATGCAAACTGTGAGCTTACATATCAGTCAGTTCAAGTCCGACCCAAGAGTGTGATTCAAGCTACAAAAAAAAGTTCCCACTCTGTCCTTCCAATATTGTAACATCTCAAACAGCAACCTCGGTTGAACCTCTTCGGGAGAACATATTAAAATATTCGCCTTGTGCGGACTCGGTCTTGCTGAACCCTCTGTAACTTTCACCCTCCGCAGATTCTTTGGCTTGCACAGAGAGCATGACAACATTGTCAACACGGATCCAGCAGAGATCCGTGGTGAGTAATTTTAATTGCTTTAACACATCCATCATCACTTGTTTATTAGTTTTTCATGCTCTGATGCCTCCTAGTTTTCATTATAAAAATGTCTCAGAGAGAAATTAGTTCAGTCTCTAAATCTCAGCTGAAATGTTTGATATTTACAGGTGGCATCTGTGGTTCGGGTCCAGCTCATTAGCGGGCTCAGGGACTGATGTCAAGGGGCCGAGCGTGGTGCTGTATCTTAAATGGAATGTGTGAGGTTTTTTGGCAAAAATATTTCCAAAATATATATAACACTTGCCTCAGCAAGTGAGAAGGGATACTTCCATGAATCACACACATATACACACATACACACACCCTGGAGGACTTTACTGGCCAACACTTGATGAAGAACATTATCCCCTGCTATGACACTGATCAGGGTCTAACGCCGGAGAAGATGAAGGTTGTGTTGCGTATTTGCAGCACTGGGACTCTGCAGAGATGAGAACTGATGCTCCCCTGCTGAATAATGTGGGAGCAAAAAAACCTGTCAGTCAACATGCTGTCAACATCTTTGTGGAGGATTTTTTGTTCTCTTTTCAGTGGTCTTTTTTTGCCAAAGTATTTATTCATTTCCTAAAACTTTTCAAGAAACGTGGCAACGAGACCCAAAAATATGTCTGTAGCGTTTAATAAAAAATGAAGAGCTCCATGTGTTTTTTGAATTTTAGTGCACCATATCAAAGGCTTGATGGTGAGACCACCTCGTTACTGGAATAGGGCAAGAGAAGTTTCATTTGCCTGTGAAATATCCACACATTCTTCCTTTCTTCCATAATTTTTAATGCTTTGTTTTTGTCAACAAACTCGTAAAAAATGACCAAAATCAACAATAAATTCAACGCAGTAAAAGAATACTGGCAGCAGATCTTTCTCCTCTGCGCAGTTGTTGCTCAAACATTATTAAAAACACATCGGTGAGCTACACGGTTGCACGCAGTGACATGTGCCTTCATTACAATTAAAGTGGGGACTGTTTGGTGGCTTTTTTTTTAAAAAAGTCAATCCTATGTACACCATCCCACGGCACACTAAATCAGCAGCTGACAACTCTAAATTCCCTACATGAACACAACTTACTAAACTACAGAGTCCAGGAAATCACCGTTTAATAGTAATTCATTCATTCAAAAAATACATTTGTGTTATGTTCTGTGGGAGACTATGTGGTTGAGTCAGAAAGCCTCAGACAGAGTAAGGAGCTCCAACGTAAAGCACTTCATTGATTTTGGTCTTTTCATGCAATTTGATGACGGTGATAAAATCGTGGAATATCACCCCGTCTGTTAAATGGTTGCATTATGCAGCAAATTACTGTAAAATGTGCCTAAAACTTAAACATGCACATTTTAAATAGTAAGAAAATTATGGCAGCTTTTACTGCATTTGGAGGCCAGCAATATGATCACAGTGTCAAACCCACTTCAAGTGGACAGCTCAGTTTCGCTTTAAGCGCTTCTCTTTTTCGTTTTGTCTTCATGTTCTTGAAACATGCCTATTATTTTATTTTGGTGATGGGTTCAAGTACGCCTTCCGGCTGCTGTGCTTAAACAAATTAAAATGTGCTCCCGCCTCCTCTTGTGCTCACACACACATACGAGTGTGTTTATCTTCTTCTCTGTGCTCTTGTATTATTCATAGGTAACAAAATGTAAGCTACCATCGGAGACAGATGGTCTGGCATATGTTCATCTACCCGACTGCCTCTTTGGACCCAGCATGCACACACACTCACACACGCAAACACATGAATACGCACACAAAACCTAAAGCTCGGCGACCTCGTGTTCCTCAGCATCCCAGTAAGCCCATAATAAGAATGAGAGTGACATTATAAGGATCGGCGTAGTGGCATTGTGGAGATACAGATGGGGCCTCAGCGTGTCTCTAATGAATGTGGTCTGTGGAGCCAGTAGATCTGTCTGCTGTATGTGCAGCGGTTTATACGCTGCAGCTCCACTTATTGACTTGGCCTCAGTTCAGGTCCCACTAAGATAAGTGCCAGGTGATGACGTGAGGGCTCTGCGGGTGTGACACAGTTAGTTCTGAACCCCGTAGCTCCCAGCAAGCATGCTCCCTGTATGTTTCTTTATAGTCCAGAGGGGGCCGGGAGCCAAGAGGTGACACATAGCAGCGGTGACGAGGGTTGGGGCGGAGTGGGGGGGGGGCAAGGTTGTAAATAACTGATGGACAAAGATAGCAGAGATCCATAGAGGAGAAGAGGGAGGAGTAGACTTTTTCTTTTTTTTGTGTGAAAAGTTGGCTCCGAGAGTTTCTGTACATCCCCCGTTCAACCGTGGAGAGAGTTAGGAAGGGGAGAAAACAGTGACAGCTACAGCAGTCCAGTCTGGAGGTGGGTGGAGACGAGTGGTAGCATAGAGACGGAGAGCAGCCAGGAAGAAAGGCCCGACCACTTGCGCTCCCCAGAAGACCGCGTCCCCCCAAAGTAAGCCACCTGGGCTGCAGAAGAAGAAAAAAAAAAACAAGGGAGAAAAGAGAGGGCAGGGAAATGTTAGCCAACATGTGCGTCTTTACGGCTGAAAGACAGCTCATTCACATGGGGGAGTTAGTCATGCAAGACAGCGGGGTGCAGAGAGGGGACATGGGCAGAGGAATGTTAGCACCTCTAAGCCTTTACTCAAAACCAGTGTAATTAAGGCAGCTTAATGCATCTCGTTCTCTGGCAGTGCTTCCTTTGTTCTCCTGATCTTGGTAATCCAGCTAAGTCTACCCTGACTCTGCCAGGACCACTCACCCACACAGGCTGACCCATCATCGTTGGGCTCAAAGCCCTGGTTGCATCTCCTCTTGGCGCGGCACTTATAGCTGCCATAGGTGTTGGTGCAGACGGGGCGGTCAGAGGGGCAGACAGAGGGGAACTGGGTACACTCATCTTTATCTGAGGGAGGGGGGGGTAAGGGAGGCAGAGACACTTGACTTGAGGATTTTTAAACAAGGAGGCAAGTGCGGTGTTGAACAGGTGGATAAAAGGTGTCGGCTTACCTGTGCAGCGGCCATTCTCATTCAGAGCAAAGCCATGACCGCACTGCAAGACACAGTCAGTATGAAACAAGGAACTTTTACTGAATGATCTGGTAAGTATAAAAAAAAACAATTGGAATCACATGCTGTGGCCTTCGCAGTCACCAGAGTTGAACTGGGCTCAACACTTAAAATCTGGGACCAGAGTTTTTATCATCAAAACACTGAATAAAAGGAATGTGTTGGAAGACATGTTGTTCCTTAAGTGGAGTTTCATGGAAAGGAGCACTGACGCTGTGTCGTGACAACCCAACTACTAACTTGAAGTCACTTAATGTTGTTTGATCATTTATCTGCAGCATCTTTTGAATTACTCTGATGGGATGGGTAGTGGTTTACTGGAACATAAGAAAAGCCCAGTAAATTTAGCCCCTTATTGGAACCAAATAAGCCATTTTATATCATCACCAGGCTGTTCCAGTAAAATATCTTTGATCCCATCTGTAGTGTTGTGCAGCTGTCTTTTGGATGATCTGAAGTTACTGTGAAGCTCACTATGAAGCACTTTCGTACCTCTATTTCCACAGTCGGGGTGACTTCCTCCTCATCTCTTGGATAGTAGATCTCCAGCACGGAGTTGATCTCTGAAGGCTCCAGCGGTCGGGCAATTGAGCGACCATCTGGCCAGTAAACCTCCACATTGGTGGCCACGTCTTTACCTGTGCAGGTAAGGATCATTTAGCGTAGACATGAGCCCCACAAGCGACTGTTCATATTACCTTTACTTCGGTTGTCATTAATCTCGTGAATTATCTCGTGAATCTTCCTCTTTCCTCTCTTTTTCCCTGACTGGCACTGTGTAAAGACTCTCCTCTCCTCTCTCCATTAACTATTTTAATCAGGCATAGAGAAAGCCCCTCTCCAGAGGCCCTCTGTAGCCCTTAATTAAAGTGGCATTTCTAATGTAAACAGATCTTGAGTTACCGTGCCAGACAGCAATCCACTCAGCAGGTGTGCTGCCCGAGAGCCAAAAAATATTTCACCTGATCTGCACCCACATGACACCCTCTCATTTAGTGGCGGGGGAGTGAATCTCACATGTCTACCAATGGTGACGCTTTTGACTGTGGAGACTGGAGGTCCTCTCTGAAGTCAGGACAGTTTGCTGTTGGAGTGTATTATGGGGGCCACCAGAGTCGATCTGGCGCCTGGACAGTCCTGATACAGAACAGGCTCAGTGAGCAGGGAGCAGCAGTGGGTGGGCTACCAGGCCTGGAAAGCCACCAGCTGACTATCCTAAGGGGGGGACAAAGGGAGACAGGGAGCTGGTTCCTCACAATCCAGGCTGGCTTCCAGCTGCAGCACCTGTCCTCCTCCTTCTCTGCTCGCTTTGTCCAACCAGCTCCCTCCCACAGACTGCTTTCTCTCCCATGGGTGTCTAATCAGGCTGAAGGTATTAAAACAATGCTTTCCACATGCTTTCATTTTCCTTCGCACTGCTACTCTCTGCGGTGCTCATTCTGTCTAATGCACTCTGTCTCTACTATGCATCACTCAGAAGTCTAGTGAATAGCAACAGCAAGTTTAATCAAGAAAAAGAAATCATTTTAAATTAAATTTCTATTTTATCTGTTTGTCAGATAAACCAAGCAATTATTTCTGATGTTTCATTAACAAAACGGTAAACCTTTTTAATCACAAACTAATGAGTGGATTAACTTCTAATTAAACAATTGCTGCTTGCAGCCACTAGTGAAGACCACCTAAGGTTATCCAAGAAGTGTCAGGTTTAAACCACACTTATTGTGCAATCATTTAGATGCAGTCTTACCAAGGCCAAAGTGTGCGACAGGCTCCATCTCACACAGGTATCCTGAGCCACCGTCAATGATCCGTGTGTGTGGGCCGCTCTTCTTTGTGTAAACCACCACTTTAGCTCCTCTGGCAAAAGCCCCAAACTTGGTCCGGGGAATCACTCGCAGCCATGAGTTGGCGGTGCCCTGGGACACAAGCACAAACAGGAATAATAAGGGTTAAAATTAAATGAAGTACTGAGTGTTATTTTGCAGGTGCCTCACAAACCTCTCACCTGGTTGACTTTGTAGACAGACAGCGGCTGTGCTGCACTCTCACCATGAGACACGAGCAGCTCCAGACGGCCGTCACCATCAAAGTCTGTGGCTACAGCTCCTGGGGATTCATCACAGCAATGATGCAGCTAAACACTTGGGGAAACAACCCTCATAACATTCGTCATCTTCATGTAGGTAAACGTAATTCAGCAATCTTCGAACTAACAACGTGGAACAAGTTTTTTTTTTCTTTTGCAAAACACAAGAGACTCAAATGTCAAGTGGAGCTCTGATGCCATCTAATGGTTTGCTGTAGGAGTAGCAGACGTAGGATGTGTGGCCGCTCTGCCTATCATTCTTAATAAAGCTGTGAGGCAGCTGTCGGTTCTGTCACGCTCACCGGTTCCTCGTCCTTCAGGCTCTGATGCTTCCCCAACATTCAGCTCTTCTATCTGGGGGTCCCCATGTTCTCTCCTGCTCACCCTGTCAAAGCAACATCACAAAAATGACCCAGAAAATCACTGCAAAATATGAATACCACACCCTCTATACAAAAAGATGTATAACCAGTGTTGGAAAGTACCCAACTTACTCAAGGATAGTATTTATGTGCAGTTTTGAGGGTCTTGTGACACTTTAATCTTTACCTCCTCCAAAAAATTTCAGCAAGAAAACCTGCGTGTTTTACTTTCCTGCCTGTATTCAGCAACTTATATGCAAAACATATGATCTTTTTATAACACAGGAAAAATGACTATAGTATACTACCCACCAGTACATTAAAAACAGTAACATTAGCTAAAATGAATCAGCTACAACATAAAAACGTTAGTTACGTGTTAATGAATTAGTGATAATACTTTCATACTTTCACACAATGTACATTTGAGACTTTTATTTGTGCAACATTTTGCAGCACAGAAGTTCTTCTCTGTCTTTTAAAGTTCTTCCACTTCTGTGTCTATGACTCGAATGCCAAATAACAGTCAGAATATCCATAAATAATAAAGCCTTTTTTGTAAATGCTACATACATAATACATAGATAACACACAGCTTATGCATCCAAATGTAACACAGAACAAAACACAGGCATATATGTGCAAGATGCTTGACAAGTGATAACACAGAAGTGCCAGACTTGTCTCCCTTGTGTGTTTAATACAAGAAGAAAAAAAGCACTTCTTACATAATTATTAGCATATTTCTTAACACAGACTCACTATAATATGCCTTCTAGACAATGACTGATTTTCATCTTGTATTGTAATTAATTTTTCATTGTTACTCTTGTGTTCTTATCTGATTGTATTTGTCATCTTTCTGTGAAGCAGTTTAGTCAAACTTTGTTGAACAAATTGATTTCATGTGACCTGGATGTCTGCACATTACCATCTACTAGGTACCTTCACCAAGTAAAGCGTCCTCATCCAGCGTTCCTTAACTTAAAATAATTTAATATCACGATGCACTAATGTGCTGATCCTGGCTCTTCAACCTCTGAGCTCAGCTACATATTGATTAGTTGTATTGAATTAATTAGCTCGGGCACAATAGTTTGAGCTTGTTTTTTTTCAGTGCCAGAGAGCACCGTTTAAATTAGCTGATTCATCTTCATAGCGGACAATGGCAGAGTCACGGGCTGTGGAGCAGTGACCCCTGTCAGAGCATCGTCGTGTCCAGAAAGATAAATTCTCCTCCAATGACCTGCTGTGCTGGAATATTCCGATCCAGGAAATCTTTGGGGCTTAAAGTGATTATTGATATTCGGTATGAATTGACCCACCAGCTCATGGCAGCATTCACCATGGGTTTTGCATCCTGTTCACACAAACATGCCAGATCAGATTTTTTATTCAGCCAGGATGTGTTCATTCTACTTTTAAGTCCTCACGAGTGATATGTATCATATATTACTTTTTGAGAGCTGAGTTCATTAATATTATCTGGAGAGGAAGCCAAACCATGAGCCAAAAAGAGACCTAAAACTGTCTTAATGAAAGATTCATTCATGTGTGGAGGAGGAGGCGGGATGCCAGACTAGATAAGTATCCTTGGCTGGGAATTTTAAATTCTTCTCAGCTTCCACGCTCAGCTTCAGAATATTAAATCAAGACACAAGAGTAGTTCATTAAGCTCATCATCAAAGCCCTATTAAAAATGACGACCGTACTTGTAAAAAATCTGTGTACGTATGTGTGAGTGTCTTGTGTTACTTCTGTCTTGGTACCTAAAGAGTCTGTTGGCAGACGGCCCTCTGTAAGCGATGTTATTGAAGAAGACTTCAAGCTCGTTGTCATTGTCAAAGTCTGCAGCGATAACGGTTCGAACCGGGGACGGCATGGAAAACTTCTGGGATGCGATGTCCTGAGGAAGAAAGGTACGTCAGTGAAACACACACAACTAATATAACACGCTCAGACATACATATACAGAAGCCGAACACATGCAGGAAGATGTTTTTTTTTTTCTACATGTGTGTATTAACCCTCTGAATTCTAAAACCCACCAGTGTCCAAATTACATCATTTCCAGGAGTCAGAAACTGAAAAAAAGTAAAAGAATCGTTGCATTTTCAACTTTCTGACAGTCACTGAAATAATCAAGTTTGACGTGCAGCTCTGTCAGGAAAATTAAGCATATAAATGCTTAAAATTGGGCTGCAAGGTGGCTTGCAGCTAGAAGATCCCCGGTTAGGATGTTCGGGATCTTTCTGTGTGGAGTTTGCATGTTCTCCCCGTGCAGTGTGGGTTCTCTCTGGGTTCTCCGGCTTCCTCCCACACAGTCCAAAAACATGTTGAGGTTAATTGGTGATTCTAAATTGTCCGTAGGTGTGAATGTGAGTGTGCTTGGTTGTCTGTCTCTAAGTGTAGCCCTGTGATAGACTGGTGACCTGTCCAGGGTGTCCCCTGCCTTCACCCTAAATGAGCTGGGATAGGCTCCAGCCCCCCCCGCGACCCTATTGAGGATTAAGCAGTGTATAGATAATGGATGGATGGATGCCATTTACAAATATTTGCCAGAATAGGCTTTTTACTCTAACAAGGTGCTATCTTTTTTTTTTATTATTATTTATTAAATTAAATTCTGAGAAGTGAGAAGCCACAGGCACCAATTAACAAATCAGTAATCACAAGACAAAACTTCTGGGTTGAACTGCAGGCTGTGTTTACGCATTCTTTCTCAATTTTTGTTAAAAAAAAAAATCAAATACCTCTAACTTCATTTTTTTTAATGGCATTAGAACTCTGTTATACTGCATAAAAGCACTTCCCTTTTCTTATATCCATGATTGTGCTGTTTCTAGAAAGTTGCAGGACGTTATTATTGCAGCGAAAAGTGTGTCCACAGTGAGTTCAGATGTGACAAAAGCAAACAGAAACTGTTTCAGAGGGTTAAATCACAAAATGTTTTTATTCCCATGCTCATCACATGTTTGTGCATAGGGCCAAATACGTAACACCTAAACTTCTTGCTGTTCATTAAGTTCCTATAATAATTCAGTTTTGTTAATTCGTCTTGATTGAATGTTGTTCTGATTCAATTAGTTCTTATTGTGTTTTATAGCTTCAGGGTAATTTGGTAATAACCCAACACTTTCATAAACACAGCAAGTGTTCCTTTTGTTACTTCCTATGTTTATGAAATCACATTTTAAAATTCTATGAAAATTTAAATTAACTTTGTCTTTAATGGGAAAGACGAGGCTGATACACTAGTTTTTGTCTTTCTTTTTCTTTTTTTTGGTCTAATCTGTTGCTCAACTACACTGTCTAGTTACGCTTAAAGTGTCTTACTGAAGAACACAACACCTTTGCAGTTTACTCTTAGATGTCCAGTGTAGGAATTCCTGTCACGTATCAGCAGAAGAGGCTGTCAGAGTGAAGAATTTCAAGCATTTCTACTTGAACTCTTTCTTAAACCTGCTGTTATTGAACCTTGGGTCCGACATGTGCACAGGCTGTCTCACAGGTCACCAGTTCAATCCCCACCACAAACCTCTAGTCTATCAATAACCAGCGTTCAGTCCTCGAGTTAGACCGCTCTGGTTAAGAGTTTCATCTAAAGATAAGAACAAAGGCTCCTTTTTTACATCCTCTGGCATCAGAGAAGTAGACAGCAGCTTTCCTGCCCCCAAAAGAACTCTCTGCAGCAGAGGAGTTTTTTTTTGCATGAGAAAGTAACGGATATCTCCCCGCTTCAGTGACACGGTGATAAGTCGGGAAAGAGTTATAGAGCAGCCCTTCACTCCCCCCAGTATTTACTCCCTGTTTTAATTATAAGGCTCATAAAGCTGCAGGGGTGGGGGCCGCCCACAGTGACCTTCTGCTTCTCAGGTGAAGGAGAGGGGATCGCCAACTGAGGCCATGGAGGGAGGGAGACAGGGACAGCACAACAATTACTACATTACTGTACGAGAGCAGATGTGCCATAAGGATAAAGAGAGGGACTGTCACCCAAACTAATATGAGGTACAAAAACACTGGGTTTGCAGGATGTTTGCCAAAAGTACCTCAAATCAGATGATAACTATTCACAACTTCAGTAGATCGATTGTAGCTTGGAAACATTTAAATGTGTCAGAAATATTAGATTATAAAAAAATTAGATATTTTTGTATTTCAGATTCAGTATGTTACTCATATATTTTTTTAGTTGGAATAACTACATGAATAATAGGCTAATATTTGAATAAAATAATTCCTCTAAACACTACATTCTAATAACTTTATATTCTCTTCTTACAAAACTTCAACCCGGGCCTTTGTCCATCCATTTAAATATATATTCAGCATGTGTGGGTGCATTTTGTGTGGGTGTCCGTGTGTGTGTGTGTGTGTGTGTGTGTGTGCTGCCTATTGCAAGACAAAAAAAAACCTCTGCAATAGATTTTAATTAAAGCACAAACAGGCCTAATCGGCACTTTCCACTAGCCAGGCAAGCTGCTGGTTCAGCCCAATTTAATTGGCGGTTTACTGAAGTGATACAACAGCTTCATTGTGCATGCCAAAGGTCATCACGGCTAGTAGGAGTGTCAGTTTGTGTGGGCGAAGGGGGTCTTAAATATGTTGTGGGCTTGTGATTTAACAATCTCGGTTTAAAAAAACATCGTCGAGCTAATTCAATTTGTCTCCCGTGTGTTTTTGTGCGTGTTTAGGAGCACAACATGTGTGTGTGTGTACGTGTGTCCCGCTGATGGAATCGTCTCTGGGCTGCGCATCACACATTAACCCCTTATGTGACCCCTATAAAGATGTCTCTCGTGACGTTTATCTCTTTGGTAAAAGATGCAGGTGCAGGCGGGCGCAGATAGATCACTGAGCATGAAACCCCTGCAGATTTACACGCAGCACGGCCCATCTCTGTCTCAGCCGCTCTTAAACGTGGCACACAAAGCGATGCACACTGCCGGCTGTCTCGCAGGACTTGTCTATAGAGCCATTGATTGAGTAAATCACCGCACCGTGCGTCTTTAAATACCACTCAAAGCCCAAAGTGGGCCAGCGGTGAGCAGTGCTAATTCACTAGGATTGATAACCGGGTGATTCACAGTGATAATAGGTGAGATTTGTTGTTTTTTTTGTTGTGCTTGTTCATTAGACATTGATTTTGGTCAAAGGAAGACGAATAGAGACAACAACCCTCGAACTCAAACTCTCCTACATCAGCAGCTGCAACTGATTATTTAGTGCAGTGCATCATTACTCTGGATTATCCACAGAACAAGGAAAAAGTCCCACCCTACACTACTGACATCTATCTACACTGCTAGATACTACGACATTTTCGGGAGACAGCGACAGCGAACGTTTGGTGTCTTGTCCCAGACGTGCATGGTTGAATAATCCTGCAGAAACGCTCTCTCATCTTGTCTGTACTGGTGTGTACAGCAAAATGACAATAAACTTGATTTGATTTGATTTTTAAGACAACATGTGGATCTTGTTATTTGGGTCACTTTGTCCTTTAATGCCACAGAACGCCTCAAACAAAGTGCTTTGCAGACAGCACCAATGATGTCTGAAACAGTGGAATCTCAGGGGCTGCATGTGATGATTTTTGTGACTTTCTAAAACCAACAATCAAGCACACGTTCCTCACAGTTAGGAGAGCTTACATGTTTAACCATCTTGCCTCGTATGTACACATCCACACACTGTCCACAGCATATGTGCAACAGAATGTATGCACACATATCCCCATGGCATGCCTCCCAATGCCAACATTTGGAGCAGGTCTGTACACTTTTATGGCATCAAATCACCATATTCACTTAAAGCAAAGATCGTCAGATATCCAGGAATCACATCTGGGACCCACCTTGAATTTTTGTTTGCGGTTATTCAGCTGCATGTAGAGGCGATGAGGTCCATTCCAGTTCCCATAGACGATATCCGTCTTGCCGTCACGGTTGAAGTCTGCCAGAGCCACCCCTCTGCCGTGCTGCATGGGGTCCTCCACACCTAAAATGAAATGGCAGTAAGCTCTATTACACAATAAACTCGACCTTGTTTGTTGTTTTTTTTTTTTTGCACCAGATTCATATGATAACGTCAAGAATGAACTGATCTACAAATAAGAACATATTATTCTCACCTGCCTGCTGTGCCACATCAGTAAAAGTTCCATCTCCGTTGTTCCTGAACAGGAAGTTGGCTCCGTACTCGTTGTCACAAAACACATCAGACAGGGTCTGACTGACAATAGGCCCCACCACGACGCCTCTTCCTCCTGCACAGATGGAGGCAGAGGCTCAGCAGTAAGAGAAAATTAGGCAGCTAAAAAAGGGTGAGCAGACAATTTTAGGAAGAAAAAAAGTGAAGCAGGATAGGTGAGACAACAGAGAGAACAGAGGGAGAGAGAGATCAGCTCCATAACAAAAGTGAATGGTAAGAGATCATTACTGTCTTTCCAGGCCATTTGCTCTGAGTAGGGCAAGTCTTTCTGCTGACACAGACACTGACTCTGATGGGCTACATCCACACAAACACAGGTAAACACACCTAGGCACAAGCACAAATACAAAAGCGTAACCGTGCAACACACTCTGAAAATCTCTTGCTTTAACCAAAAGCTAACAATAATTTCCTCCTTATGGGTAAATCTTGGTGACTGTTCAGGACACTCTCAACATCACCCCAAGATTTTCCAATGACATTCTCCAAAGGGATGTATCTCACTAAAGTGTTCCATCTCAGACCAGCAGAGTTTAATTATGGAGTTGAAAGGGCTTTGATTGCCCTTCCAGTATGCAGAGTCAGTGCTGTGAGTCAGGACTCGCTCCTGATTTAGTGGCCCGCTCCATCAGCCCAGACAAATATCACTCGCCCCCTACGGCCATAAACCACTAATGTCTCTCCAGAGATATGTAACCATTAGATATACAACTTCACCGACTGTCCCTCTGCTCTGATTAACGGCAGTTTGATGGCAAAGCCATCTACCGTACATCATTCACAGCGAATCTGAGCAGCTCAAGCTGCCCCCCTGGTGGATCAGATAATATCCTGCATGTAACAAGATCCGTAGATGATGAAGATTCATTCTGCTGCGCTCAAATACAAAGTCACCTCCCATTTCCAAAACTTAATAGAACATCAGCTTCAAGGACTTTTCAATGGTTACAATAAAGTGTCACAGAGGCATCTTTTTTTACTCATGATAGTGTCTGTTATGAAGAAACAAATCACGGTGAAATCGTGCATTCTGGCATTTACTGTTCTACTCTTCTATTCGTCACACGGTTAAGTTGATCCAAGCCACGGAGGTGAGCTGAGGTGTGGTGATGAATTTCAGTGTTATTCAAAAACAATACAAAAAAAAAAAACATGTTCAAGGTCATTCATTCAGTTTCAATATCATTTAAACGGCAGAAAAATCACTTCAGATCAAATATTTATTGTCCTATGACAGATTTTTTTTCTTTGCAGCAAAGTAGCACAATAAAACATTAAGGAAGCAGTTTGCTCTGAAGGAAACATACAACCTACACACAGAAAAGTATATATAAAAAAAACAAGTCAGTATGTGTACTGTAAAAACTGCAGCAAAGAAAAATAAGGATAAGATCAAGATAAAGCCTACGCATTTGAACTCAGTGTATTTACTGCACATGGAATAAATGCACATTTCAACTTGTTAAAGCTCATTTTCACAAGTCAGCTAGGAGGGAATTCCTTAAAGAGAAGATCAAGTTTTTTTTTGTTTTTTTTTTAAAGATCTGATATTTTGGCCTTCATTTAATAACTGACTGTCTAGACAGTTGGAATATGTTGGGAGATAAAACCCTGACAGGAGTCAAACTGTTCCATTGAGGTTATAGAGCATATGTTACCATGAGACCATCAGGATACGCTGCTCTTGTTTTTTGTGTGACTGTTAACTAGAAAATTGTTGATGACTCATTTTAATGGCCACTTTGACAATGATGCCCACTTTATTTAAGTTTTTCACGTTTAAACTCCCATAACAGGTACAGGACTGACTTTAAAACAAATTTGTAAAATAAGATTGTCCACATCATGTCAACATTGAAAACATTTTCCGCCGCAAGATATGAAGTCTTTGTTGCCCCCTTTTTGGCAAGTAGTACTTTGATGAGACTGACAGTGACGGAGCAAGCTGCATATAAAATACAAAGCGTTATATAAGGCTAGGTGCGGCTGTGATAGATGCTATCTCCAGGCTGTTGAGCCGGTCTGATGTATGTGTGTGTCGCCCTTCCCTTTCGCTTTCATATGACTTTGACTGGAGTAAACAGCTGACAGGGCCAAAAGAGCCCACATGTTCTCTTTCTTCTCACTTTTTTTCCTTTTTTTTCCCTCTTGTCTGGCACTTTTCCAACTCTTATACTCGCTTCCCCCCCGTCTAGCTCCCTCTGTGTGCTCAAGTCCTATATTTCAGGTTCTATGGGTACAACAAGCACATGCTCCTCTGCAGACGTCTGTATAAATCACACAGCCGGTCCGGTACTGCCAGGTGATCTTAAAGTGATGGTCTACGTCACAGTCAGTTCTTCATACCTACCGATGAACTTATTGACTCCGGCCTGCTCGGCCACGTTGGAGAGGGCGACGACGCCCTGTGAGAGGTCGCTGGCTGCTTCATCCATTTCTATGAGAGCATGAGGACCCACGTTCCCACTCGCGTAGTTAGCTATGTAGATGGCATAGCGGCCGGTACCCTGCACAGAGACATATGTGATTCACATTTATTAAGATACACTCTTCATATATACTGTGTAGCATAATTAAAAACCCGAAAAGACGTGTAGCTACATGTGGAATGATGAATAATTTGAAAATTCAGCAGAAAACTTTTTTTTTTTACTATTTTTTTGTTCCCTTTTGAGAAATCTGTCTCAGATCTCACTTCAACCAAACCAGTACAACAGAAGTAATCAGAAGTAAAGTGGTGGTGCTTCTACCACAGTGACAACAACTGGGTTTCTGGAAAGATAAATATTGTAGCTTTTGATCCCAATTCTTTCGCTTTCATCAGCACCAGAAACAACATTTCATTTACCTCCTTTGTATTTGAGTAAAAGGCAAAACTCACAGACCAGTGACAAAACGAGAACTTAACATAAATCTGTGTTTATTCTATAATATTATTTTAGGATTTTTTTGGGCCACTTGGGGGCAGCAGAAACAAGCTGTGAACACAACATTGACATATTTGCTCATCAATTTGCTCTCATCCTTTACAGGGTCACAGGGAGCTGAAGTCTATCCCAGCTGACATTGGACGAGAGACAGAGTACAGCATGGTCACATCTCCAGTCCATCACAGGATCGCACTGACGTATCCCCATATTTTAAGGTAATGCAGTTATGGAGCAACCACATCATGTCTTTAGAGCAGGGCTTTTGGTCACCTAGTGCAAGTAATTCAATATTCACTGTACTTTAGCTCAGTTTTTGGTCTCTACAAACTCCAGAGGGAAAGGTCTGGCTCGTTAGCTGCTAAATGTTATACTTTGGTTTTGATCTGGTCTTATTCGTGTCTGTGCGGCGTTTGGTAGTGAGCTGTTTGTGTACAATGGGGATTTTAGAGCTTTTTTTTTTTATAGAAAACAGCTGCCCTCTGTGGCGAAAAAAGCTGTCCGACAGCTGAACAATAACCTGAAGCTGGCTATAGAGCTGTTTAAAGCCACGAGGAGCTGCAGATTTGCGTCTGAAGCAGCCTCTTTGTCATTGTCATTCACGTTGTCATTTGATACATTATACCCACTTTAGATAAAAAGCCAAATGATTTCCCATAAATTGGATCACATAACCTCAGAATGTTGTATTCTTAAACCATCTGTTTTTTTTTTCTTTCATTCTTCTCGTGACTATTATGCACCTTTTCCCAATCAAACCTTTCTTTTCTCCGCTTTATCTCCCCTTACCCTCTTTCTTACCCCCTTTTCTCAGCCTCTCTCCCTACTCCTTCCCCTGCCTCCCTTTGGAGATTAATTTCACACTCCATTATCAGTCAGAGTCCCTGCAGACACAAACTCACAGACGGAACCACACTAATAGACTACACACTCGATTCCAATGAGCTTTCCCACCAGGCCTAACATATTTCAATCAATACAAACACATGCACGTATGCAAACACGCACACACGCCGCTTCACCATTTGTGTTAACTTTACTATATTTTCATGAGACACAGAAGGTAAACGAGGCTGGCTGATGTAAATGTCATTAAGCGTAACATTATGGCATGCTGTGGGAGGAGTGGGCTTCACACACACACACACACACACACTCAGAGCTCGAGAAGAATGAAAATGAACTACAATGGAAAAACCTGAAGGCCACTGGCAGTTACTTAACAAACTTAAAAGTCAATGATTTTTCAATAAGCCTTCACCCAAGGCTAATTTCTGTCACTGGGATTGGCATTGTGAGTAGTGCGACAAGCATGCCTGCAAAGTGCATGTTGGTGCAAGGACTGCATACCCTTTACATCAATCTTTACAGCCATCACAAAGAAGCCTGAACAACATCCCACCTCTAATGTAGCACTGTCGCTCTTTTGTTGGCAGGAAGTGCACATTTGTGCCCTTTTGCTTCACTTTATTGTGCTTTATTTAACATATTCCAATTATTCTGGCCTATAAAATCCATTTACTTTTCCCCTGCCTGCCAGTTCAAAGTGAACCAATCCATCAGTTCAATGTGAGGCCCCTCAATATGTCACCTTCATCAGTTTGTATAAGAAAAATGATGGGACGTCACTTTCAAGGAGACTAGGAAAGACAAAGTGGTCGGATGACAAATCTATCTTTATTTCTAGATAAAACTTTATTTATGGGTAAACAAGATCAAACGCATTAGCTACCTAGCTGACTACACAGCGTGCTTTTGGTTTTTGGCCCGTGTAACCTTCTGCTGCCGTTCCAAATATGTTCTAATAAAACTTGTTCAGCAATAGGAAAATGAGTTCTCTCTCTGTCGGCCTGCTGGAACCAGCATGCAAGAATGCACATCAGGGCTTTGGCTTCTGCTAAAAAAATTATGCCATTAAAGGCAGATATCTTTCCAATCGGTTTGGCAGCTGCACAACCTATCAGTGCTCAGTGGGACGGGACTGTGGTTAAAAAAATCTATTGTAATCCCTACTGTCCTCTTTCCACTATTACCTTCTTTATCCTGTCCCTGATCGGAAGTGAGAACTGCATGTGTGAGAGTGAGATAAGAGACAAAGGAAGAGCGTGAACGTGTCAGTCAGAGAGAGTAAAAAAAGAAAAAGAAAGAAGAAGAAGAAGGAGTAAAGAAGGTGGAAAAGGAAGAAGAAAACAATGAGAAACAGACTGAGAGAAAGAGAGAAAATGCTACGGGCAGAAAGCAGTAGTGTGCAGTCATCATTCCTCCCCTCGTACGATGTTCTATAAAACAAACGAGCCCTGGCTTCTGTAATTACACTGGTGCGATGGACAGAAGAGAGAAAATGGCACACCATTCCCCCAAATGAACTGTCATAGCACATGCTGAGAAGGGCGGCGTAGGCAGGGCATGAGTTATCACTGGTAAACAAACAGAAGCACCCGTGCATGTACGCAGAAGACACTCCAGGGAGTTTGTGTGTTTGTGTGTGTGCGATGCAGATCTACATATACACTATGTGTAGATGTGTGTGTGTGTGTGTGCAGTACCTTTCTGTCCACACAGGCCACTGAGCGCCCAGACATGGGGTTGGCTACATCTCTGTGTTCATTAATATCATCGCTCAGCAGATCTTCAAAGCGTCCATTACGAAACTTAAACAGCTTGTCGGAATATGTTGCCCGACCTTGATGCGGAGAGATACAAAGTTCAGTAGAGGCGAAGCTTGCGCGGAGTAAAGAGGCATTATGCAATACAAGTAACCGTGGGTGATTGGAAACAGAAGAGCGGGCTGCTGTGGTTGAAAGTGAGAAATGCGATACAGGAGTTTTTATAAAAATGATAGAGGTGAGGTGTTGCTGTTTTGGCAGTGTGCGCTGCGTAGCTCTCAGATTGATTAATAGCAGCACAAAGCTTATCTGTTATCTGATGAAGACTCAGATGAGATAAGCTTAATATCTGCATACAGATTCTCCTGCTGTGTCACTGTGTAAGAAAAGAGGTACAGTGTAACTCCAGTGTGCACACATTGAATTTTGACAAAAGAGGGACCAGCTTGTACTGTACCAGAGAAGGCGTTATTGGTGTTGAGGACATAAATCTCCTCCCGTCCGTCTCCATCGATGTCACATGCTGTCACTCCGATGGCGTTGCCTTGACGGTCTCTCAGGGCGTAGAACGGGGAACTACGATTGTCAACAGCGATGTTGACAAGCCTTTTCCTCTGCTTGTCGTACTTTAGCACCAGATTTGGGCCGTTGTAGCTGTCAACAGGCAGAAATGACTGCTTTAGTCCTCATTAATCATGAGTAGTGACTAATCGTGCTGCCTAAAAACGTTGTAAACAATGTTTATGTGTACGTTGCTTCATTTTGTAGATTATCACATCATCTGTTGTGCAACTGAGACCTCAGTTGTAAATCTTAAATAGGGAAAAAAAATCTGCTGCATACGTGAGAAGGCCACATGAAGCTTTTTGTGAAAGTCAGATACTCTCCCTCAGGTGATGTCATTTAAGGAAAACTACATCATCAGTTGCTGCAAAGCTGCAACTTTGAAAATTAGATCTAAGTGAACGAAGTAGCAGCTAATGGCTACATGGACTGATTTGCATTATGGGTGAAGTAAACAACAGGTTCTGACAAGAAAAACAGTGTTTAGATGAAAAAGAAAAATTATGCTGCATTAATTTTAATAGCTTCTACCTTGTTTCAACTCTTTGCATTCACTTTTAAACCTGTCCAGCGTGTAGTCTAACAGTGTTACAGTTTAAGAGCGTCATGCTAAATCTTCTTAAACGTCACTTATGACTAAATGTCCATCAATCACATTATTATATTATCAAATATCCTTACTTTTACTAAAACACAGGACTCTTGAGCATGATAAAACCAACACTACAGCTTTAAGTTAACACCACCTGTTTTAATTCTACTTTTTTTCCTGAGAATTCATGTTTTGACATGTGTCATGTAGAGTATAATTATTGTTATTCAGGTGACAGAATTTTAAGCTCAGTGGTTCAATGTTTTACTTGCAAAAATGCATCTTGGGATTAAGGTCTGTGGGTACCAGTTAATAAGATTTGTCTGGTAAGGAGAAAATAACCGACTGACTGTCTTCAGATTTTGATTCAAAGCCTGCTAAACTCTGATTGTGGCTCACAATTACATTTTATCACCGTTTGACTGAACCAGAAATCAGTGAGAGGAGCACAGACCAAAAAAAACCTATCTAAATAAACAAATGTTTTTTCTTCATGGAAGACCACACCATTTACAGTAAGAAGTGGGCTGTGAAATAACTTGTCAGGGCCTTTAAAATTACCTGGCCTCATTCTTTATTCTATTAATATCAGTGCAGGTTTTTATATCTGGTGCACACACTGTATAATCTGGAACTCAATACTAATTCTATATTTTTTCGGGGTACCAACTCAAACTATCTTCCTGTTCCAACTAGGAAGGGTAAAGCAACAGCGTGCAGCCAAAATCAGATATTTACATTCCAGAAATCTCTTTCTTTGTTCTACTTTGTTGCACTGAAGGTCAGCATCGTCATTTTAATAAAAACTGTGTAAGTTATCCTTAGATTCTCCTGATGGTAAACAAAATGATGTCTTTTGGGATGATCTCGTGTCCAGGACATCTGCTGAACAGGATGTTTATGGCTAAATGACATTTATTAAGCAGGGTCGTTTTGGTTTATCTATATTCTGTTAAGCATTGAGAAATTCATCGTCGCTTCACTGGATAGAGGCAGGCTCGCAAAACTCTCCCAATCAATGGTGCTCTATTCAATCACACCCATTTCCATCAGCTGAGGCAGCCTCAGGGCAGCCTCACCATCTCGTCTTACAGTTTGCTTTTGTCTTTGTCTTTAACCTTTATCTTGGGAAAATCACAGTGCTTTTTTTTTAACCCTTAAAGTTAGACATTTCACAGCTAGTTCATTGCTTTAATCGTGTATAGTTTTAAAAGAAAAGGCTTTTAACTCTGTGAGAGGAGCAAGAGAGCAAATCTAACTGTAAGTGAGAAAACGCTTTTCTGCACACTCCTCACCCAGCCACAAATATCTCCAGGTCTCCGTCCCCGTCTACGTCAGTGACGGCCACGCCATAGTTGAGCTGGGTGGGGTTGTTTTCATAGTCCGGAGGAAGGACGGTCTTGGTTATAGCCGAGAACATTGGCTCTGATCGCTGAGCCAAGGCGAGGGCAGGCGGGAACAAAACCAGCCACAACAACATCCTCACCTGAAGGGCAAAACACACCATTTGCACCATGAAATCAAAGAAGACTTCCGTCTTTCTCTATGTCTCATATGAATGTGCAAAAAAGTGCTGACACTTTTTCTTCTTTCTTAAATTATTTTCTCAAAGAATCCATGAACTAAATAAAAGTGGCACGATCCGAGGGACTAAAAAACAGAACAATGCACATCTGTAGAAAAGCATATACACACTCAAAAGAGCACCATTTTCCCACATAGCACTCCTCGCCTGATCGACAGCACACATTTGGCCTACTGGTTGATCTAAATAGGAATCAAACAGAAAACTGTAAGTCATACATCTGCAAACTGCAACACATGGCCCTTGTTGCTAATTCTCCAAATCCATCGCGGGGCAAACATCGTTGGCAGAGCTTTCTGCTATACTCGGACATAAAGATGAAGATATACCACCACAATCAGCAGCGTTCTGCAGGGTTAGATCTGAACAACCCATCACATGCAGACAGGCTGAGGAATTACAGGACAGAAAATCCATACATGGTGCCGGGCATTATCCACAGGCCAAGTGAGCTCAGAGGAAACCAATATGACCTGATATAACAGAGCCCAGCTTCTGTTTCCTCAGAGACGGCGACCAACTCTTAAATTGGAAAGGTTTTTTTTCTTTTTTTTTTCATGGATAAAAGGGCTCTGTGATGTATAAGTGTCCTTTTATTGGTATTAGATAAAAGCTGAACATAGAAGAATTGATCCAATTCGACTTGTGAAGCGCAGGCGAGTAGAAATGAGGTTTTCTGATGCTCAGACTGGAGGAAAAAAACGAAGTGAAACATGGCTGAGAAGGGAGAAATGGGAGAAATGAAAGAAAAGGGTCACCTTCTGAAGCCTAAAATAAAACACTCATCATCAACAGCACTGCAAAACTTTTACACACGCAACACACACACGCAGTAAATGCCATTCACGAGCTGACAACTTGATTTCCCCTGCCCGTGGATTTATGAACGCAGCCTTCGTCATAGTGCTCATTCCATCCGTAATGCCACTGAGATGTTCCCATCTCTGCTTCCGTACCGCTGCAGATTCTCCCTTTCTGCTCCGAGTGTCCAGGTGATGTATGGCTCTTTAACATCTCCCTCAGCAATTCAATTTAAGATAAAACCACAGTGCTGTTTGAGTAATACTCTCAAAAGCACATCGGCAGGGAGAGGAAGCACCTCCGCTGACACCTGCAGAAATATGGCCGGGGCCGACTCTGGCTCTCTCCAGGAAGGCACCACGCCGATAACGCTGGTTCAAGAGCTGGTAGCAATGTAGACTGTGGCTGTTAGCAACAAGGGTTAATTAACAACACCGGGCAGTCAGGGGAAAAAGCAGTTTCCCCCCATTTGAAAAAGGATGTGATGACAAATGAGCAGGCCAGTTCCAGACTACAGGAGGCAACTATACAGACTTACTCGTATATTCTGTGTTAGATAGGGCCAGTGGGCTATAAATTAAATAGGAGGAGGAAAACTTAAGTTGAAAAGTGAAAAAAAAGTGTAATGGAAAAGGGTGGAAGCTTTTACAGTGTTTTTCTGTAAGAATGTCCTGCAAAAAGGACAATTAGAGGATAAAAACTGCTTGTATGTGATACAGTTTCTCCTCAAAACTGGACAATTACATTTAAATGTTACTGTTCGTAATGAGACATGGCTTCATTCTCGTGGTACATATTTCACAGTAGCCTGACAATAGAGATAAAGTATCTCCCACACAAAGTAACAAGCAGCTTGATGAGGGTTGCACAAAAAGGTCAGATGAGCGCTTGAAACCATTGGGGACTTTTCAGTTTGATAAAACTATGAGCTACTGCATTACCCAGTCAAGGACATGCAGTCACTTTGCCCCACGTTCACTGCAGTAAAGTCCAAGACATCCCACTTGAGTCATCAAGTAAAGTTGGAATGTGACTTTTCCGCAAGCACGAATCCAACCGAAAAACATTCATTGCATCGGGGGTTTATGATGTAACATGTGCAGGGTCAACAAGCAATAATATATAAAAAAAAAAAAAAGAAAAGTAATTTGTAGTAAACCAGCCGAAGACCATGAAATCACCCTGACAAATACATTTTTTTAAAAAAGGAATGTGTTGTTTGAAGCAGAGAAATGTTTTCGATTTGGTAATTTATGTTGGCATTAAGAGGCCATTACCACAGCGTGCAACATCAGCATGTGCTTTCTGGAGCGTTCCTGCCCAGCTCTGATCCTGATAACACTGCGACAAAGAGCCAGCAACATCTTCAGCTTCAAACACACACTTTCTAGAAGCTCTTCTCTGTGAAGGACACTCTCACTGCAGAACACACACACGCGCACACACACACACACACACAAAGTGCAGCACTAGTGAATTACACTTAAGCTTCAACAATCAACAATTGCAAGTAATGTTAAGCTCCAGTTCATCCATTGTTATTCACAGTGAATGTAAAAACCAGGAAACAGCAGCAAACACACACACACACACACACACACACACACACACACACAGTGCAATAAGTCATCACATCAGCAGTTTAAAGCATTACTCTATGAGCATAGTAGTTGCAGGAGTTTTTTTTTTCTAGAAAGTTGCATCCATATATGTCTGAATAACTGCAGAAATGTGATCATAATTTTTTTAAATAATCTATCTATCTATCCCAAACATAAAATAAGATCAAATGCACATAACTCCAAATTAACAGCAAGCTAAACAGCAAAAATATAAATAAAAGAAAAATAAGAAACGATTGAAGAAATAACCAGAAAAACATGCAACCCGTTCAACAATCTTTCTTAAAAACAGATGCAACTGCTGCATTAATTAGTCTATTTTTTTCATTATCTGTTCATCTGCATTATTTTTTTTAAACAAAATCCACTTTATGTACTTTAATCCGTGGCTGTTACTGTAGCTGCAGGTGATGATTAAACAGTATGAAATAATCAAGCGTCGGATTTTATTTTTGCTCTGAGAAAGAAAAGTTGCGTTCAAATCGAGGGGACGGACGTCAACTTTGTTTCGGCTCTTTCTTGCAGCACATCCCGCCAGTTATCCCAGAGGAAGACAGCAGCCTCAGCAGCAGAAAAAAAAAAAAAACTCAGGTTACTCACAGATGCAGAGACGCTCGGAAACTCCAGACAAATCCTCCAGCGATTGACAGCAAAGAAGAGAGAGAGGGAGGGAGAGAGAGAAGGATTCAGGGAGATAATTGTGCTGTGGATAGCGCCGTTATCTCAGGGGTTTTTCCCACTTATTCCCTTTACACAACTTCCAAAAGATTTGCTTTATGAAATCACTTGTGTGCGATTTCAGCCAATCGCCGCGCAGCTCGCCGAATATCTAAGCGGGCGGCCAATGAGTGCGCGGGGATGCTGCGGGTGGGCGTGTCCCCAGGTGTTTATTACGACGGGGCGGCGGGGCGCAGCTGGGGATGGAGATGCGGAGCTTACTCGGTTCAGTTGGGATGCTCTGACTCCTGCCCCATCCACGTGTGATTCTGGATGAAAAGATGTGAGATATCCCGGGATATCTGGCGTCCTGTTCAGCGTGAATGTTTCCTGTTGTTGTTTTTAAGTATTGTTGTGTACAGGCTGACTGATTTGAGTTTGTAGCTTCAATAATTTAAGCATGATTTGCTTCAGTGATGCCAACAACCCACTTTTCCCTCAGGGAATGAGGGTTTAATTAAAGCCGAATCGCTATTTCTCCACATATTTCTGGGATAAAATCTTGACGCATGTGCAGCTGTGTGGTCGAAATGTGGATTCAGTGTATCGCCTGGGATGGACATTTTTTGGCAACCTGTCTTATCATTATTGTTTATATGTGTCCATTAGCTGAGGAGTCAATCAGACTTTTAAGCACTCGTGTCTGCTGCATTCAGGCCTCAAACAAAGCATTAAACTATAGTTTCATTGTATATATTTTTTTAATTATAAGCACACATTGTTTATATACATCTTTAAAATGTCAAATCCTCAATTTTACAGATGGATCTATATATTTGTATTCACAACGGCAACAAAAAAATTAATAGGTGTAGTGTTTGATGTAGCAGCGACCTGACCGAAGCAAAAGAAAGCAATTAAAGTAGCCTCACCCAATGCGCACTTACAAATAAAACGGTGAGTGCTCAAATTGCCTCTTTTATGTTATCTAAAGAGCACCAGAATGCTGTGTCAGCTGCGTGTGATGAATAAAAGGAATAAAACAACAGCATCGCATTTGCATAGAGCATATTACAAGCGTCGATAGCAATGATCCTCAAAAATAATAGATAATTCTCTCTCAGAGTGATGAGCAAAAAGTTAGTGTTCTGTCTCATAACAGTCAAAAGTGTGAGTGTGTGTGTGTGAGAGAGAGAGTTTGCAGGTTTACTGCTGCCAGATGTATAATTCTTATGTCATGCTTCACTGAGTCCAGCCTCCCAGAGACCCCCAATGAAATGAGTTGTGCGTGTGTACGTGTGCGTGTGTGTGTGTGTGTGGTTGCGTACGGCCTGGTGAAATGAGATGTTCACATCCCAAGGACGTCTCCCACCATAATTTAAACTCACTGGTGCTGGAAGACTTCAAACTGAAAGTGCTGAAGTCATAAACCAGTGCACTTCTGTCTTTACTGTTATTGTCTGTGATCTGCTGGTGTAAATCTGCAGGCAGGTGGCTGTGACTCAAACAATGCAAATATGAGGACAGAAACGTGAAGCCTTTCCATGTTGTGATTACTGCATATTGACTTCAGGCTCTCAAATGAAGACCCGAAGCCAACGATGCTCCTTACGAGCAACGTCCCGCTGGTCTTTTGTTTCAGTTTATCGGCCCCGGTTTGATTTACAGGTCGCAGGATTCTCTGACTTGGTCGCAAAATGCGAAGGGTTAGAAAAAGAGAAAAACCTCCAGGCTTGATGTAGTGCTGCGCATGATACCTTCAGCTATTTACTCCCTGATCTACAGTCGCTCACAAGGGAGACCAGAGTGTTTTTT